TCCATAGACAAAACTTTACTTCAAGGTCTGTCATCTACGAAATCTTCTTAAATACCAAATTTTAAATAATTTCGTGGGTATATGTGACTAGGATTACAAAATTCCGAGTAACGGTGGGTATCGTTATAGGAAAACGTGGATTATATTTTCAATGTTCTGCCGCTGGAGCTGGAATCCACTATGACCTAAAAATACCAATTTTTAGACAAATCCGTGGAAAAATATGGCGAAAATCATCAAAATACCGAATATCGGGAGTTACCGTTATATGGCGGCTATACCAAAACTTGGACCGATATATCTCATTTTCAATACAAATCGTCATCTTTTGAAGAATTGTAAACTTCGTATGGTTCGTTAAAAAACCTCAATCATTTTTAAAAATCATCGAAATTCATATGGTCCTTTAAATAATCCTAAGAAAATTATCGAGATTCACTTCATACATAAAATATATATATAAAAAATTAAGGACTACCCTATAAAGTCCTTAAGGTGCACAGTTCTTAAAAATTAAATTAAAATTCAACAAATATTTATAACTTTTATTTTTTTTTAAATTAACAAAGTTTCTATAGTTAAAAAAATCTACGAACCATTCGGAGTCCTTAAAAAATATTTAAAAAATCTATAGGCCTTTTCTCCAAGATTCTCATTCAATTTTCAAAAATATTAAAAAAAAAAACGCGAGCCTCCTATGGGTTTTTATTTCAATTATTTAAAATCTACGAATTTGAAGAAATTTTACAAGCCTCCTATATTCTGTAAACTTATCTTTAACCAAACCCCACGCTTCCTTTAGTTCAAAAAATATTTAAAAAAGTTAAGTTAAGTTATTATTATTATTATTATTATTATTATTATTATTATTATTATTATTATTATTATTATTATTATTATTATTATTATTATTATTATTATTATTATTATTATTATTATTATTATTATTATTATTATTATTATTATTATTATTATTATTATTATTATTATTATTATTATTATTATTATTATTATTATTATTATTATTATAATTTATATTATTATTATTACTCTTATTATTATTATTATTATTATTATTATTATTATTATTATTATTATTATTATTATTATTATTATTATTATTATTATTATTATTATTATTATTATTATTACTATTATTATTATTATTGAAAAAAATCTACGTGCCTCCTATAGTTCTTCAAAGTTGTTTTCAAAGATCCTTAATCCTTTTACAGTATTACATAATTAAAAAATTGTTAAAAAAGCAAAAGTCTCTTGAAAAATTATATTAATTATTTTAAGAACTAAAAATTATTATTATTATTATTATTATTATTATTATTATTATTATTATTATTATTATTATTATTATTATTACTATTATTATTATTATTATTATTATTATTATTATTATTATTATTATTATTATTATTATTATTATTATTATTATTATTATTATTATTATTATTATTAAAAAATCACAGAGCCTTTTATATTTAAAAAAAAAATCTACGTGCCTCCTGCAGTTCTTAAAAGTATTACATAATTACAGTATTACACAATTAAAAAATTTAAAAAAAATATTTAATAATTATTTTAAGAACTAAAAAAATCCGGAATCAAATAATTCTTAAAAATTTAACTAAATTAATAAAGAATATTCAATAAAATTCTCCCTTTACAGTTAAAAAAAAAATAAAAAAAAAAACCTAAAAGTTCAAAAAATGTTTTTAAAAAAATTAACTATTATTATATAATTTTGTATTTGTAAAAAATGCTGCATCTGTATTTAGGACTGTATTTGAAGGGCTCACAGCTATACCGAACTAAGTCATAAAAACATAATTCGAAGATATTTAGAGGTAAAGTAAATGCACTGCCATTAATTTCTGGAAGGAATATTTTAGTCTACCAAAAGAAAATGTAAAAGACTATATTCAAAATTAACTAATGATATTAATTTAAAATAAAAATAATTTAAATATATTACTAAAAAAATATTCAAAAACAAAAAAACCTACTTTGGTTCATTATTACTCTGAATAAAATTTGAAGGTTTCACAGCTAAAGAGAACCAAGTCAAAAAAATAAATAAGGTGTTCGTTATATGACTAAATATAGTTCACTTCAGCGATTAATTTCCCACTAGTTTCGGAGTTTTATTTTGAGTCATGTTTTGCTTTAGCGGCTGGCAGCTGCGTGTACATCTGTTGTAATTGACAACCATTGTGATTTTTTGGAAAATAAAATAAATTCATTTAAAAACAAGTAAAAAAACATTAAGTTCGGCCGGGCCAAACTTTTAATACCCTCCACTTTAGGGTAAAAGAAACATTAGAAGAAATGTGGCAAAAACCATTAAAATGCCGATTATGGGGAGGTACCGTTATATGGGGGCTATACCAAAACGTGGACCTATAATTACAATGTTTCGCCACCGGAGCTGGAACCCATTATGACCAACAAATACCAATTTTTAGACAAATCAGTGAAAAAATGTGGCAAAAACAATCAAAATAGCGAATATCGGGAGGTACCGTTATATGGGGGCTATATCAAATCATGGACCCATGCATGCAATGTTTCGCCACCGAAGCTGGAACCAATTATGACCAACAAATACCAATTTTCGAACAAATCCCTGAAAAAATGTGGCAAAAAAACTAAAATACTAAATATCGGGAGGTACCTTTATATGGGGGCTATACCACAACGTGGACCTGTACATGCAATGTTTTGCCACACGCTCAGGGACCCGCTATGACCTACAAATACCAATTTTAAGACAAATCCGTGAAAAAATGTGGTATAAATCATCAAAATACCGAATATCGGGAGGTACCGTTATATGGGGACTATACCAGAACGTGGACCGATATATCTCATTTTCAATACCAACCATCCTAGACACAATGCAAATAGCTCTGCTAAATTTTGGAGCTCTACGTCAAATAATGTGGGCTGTATCGTGATTTCAACAGACAGACGGACAGACAGACAGACAGACGGACAGACGGACATCGTTAAATCGACTTAGAATTTTATGCTGATTATGAATATATATACTTTATGGGGTCTAAAATGAATATTTAGGGATGTTACAAACGGAATGACAAAGTTAATATACCCTCCTTTCCAAGGTGGAGGGTATAAAAAAAAATAAATTAATGTCAACAAGGACAAAGGAAAATTTAAGGTTTCAACTATGGTAGAAAAAGATGGTAAAGTCATGCAATTATATGTTTACATTTTTATACCCTGCACCATAGTATGGAGGGTATATTAAGTTTGTCATTCCGTTTGTAACACCTCGAAATATACATTTTAGACCCCACAAAGTATATATATTCTTGATCAGCATAACAGTCTATCCGTCTGTCCGTCTGTGGAAATCACTCTAGCTTCCGAACGAAATGAAGTAAGTTGATAAAAATTTACTCAAATGCGTATTATGACTGTAGGACTTTTGGTATTGAAAATGGGCCATGTAGGTCCACGTCTCCGTATAGCCCCCATATAACGGTGTCCCCCGATATTCGGTGTTTTGATGATTTTAGCGATATTACTTACCGGAACTATTTCAAATTAAGTATTTGAAGTTCGTAATGAATACTACAGCCTATGACAGCAAATTGTATGTGCAGCTCCACGTTTTCATATAGACCCTAATATACGGCTTCATTCGGTATTTTTAAGATTTTAACTGAATTTTTAATGGATTTAAATTTTTTGAAAATTGCAAAATTTGTACCAAATGTTGGAGGGTATTCAAAGTTCGGCCCGAACTTACAGCTTTTTTACTTGTTTCTTTTTTTCAACGTTGCAGGGAAAGTTGACAGGGTAAATTACAGAAAATGCAGAGATGGATATGCTTATATGAAATGACTTTACCTTCCTTAATTTACCATGGTTTCAACAAATATTTACACATAAAAAATTCGTCATTTCCGTTTTCATCATTTTTGGGGCTGGCAAATATTCCTCATTTTCATTACTGGAAAAATCACTAGTGCTGCTATTATTACTATCCATTTATAGAAAACACTGATTTTTTTTAATTTTGCTGAAAACTGAACGACAATAAACACGTTCTCACTAATAGTACTGATTCAACGTGAAACACACTGACTTGGTTCATTTTTGCTTTGAAAAAAGTCGAAATTGTCAGTCGTTGACTTAGGTTTTTTACCGTTATCTTTGGAACGAAACACTTTTTGACATTGTGCTTTATAGAGTAAACAGAGTTTCCATATACCGGGACATTGGCACTAATTTCGGCATTTTTTATTTTTCATGACTTGGTTCGGTATAGCAGTGAGCCCTCCATTTGTATGTGGGATGTAATGGTGTAATTTTTTCGATGGGAAGTATCCCCAGACATATCGAGAAACACGACGGATTAGAATTTTTTTTAATTAAAAATAAAATAAATAATTAATTTTCATAGGACACCTAAAAGACTTTTATTCTTCATTTATTTATTTTTTTCGATTTTTCCATTAGAATAATTAATACAAATTCGTACATTACAGAAAAAGAAAATTCTAATTATCCAAGAAAAACTCACTTGGGAAAATTAATATCCAACACATAAAATAATACAATTATCCAGTCACCAAAAATGACCTTCTAAAGCATTGTTAAATTTTAAATCCCATCTCTTAAATGTGTAATTATTTAAACAATTATTAACAAAAAAACTTTATTAATCCGAAAAACTGGTTGATTCTTTTTTTTTCTATCACAATATTACAATTAATTTATGCAGTCATGCAAAAAAAGCATCTGCCATGGCAGAATAACTCGTTAACTCGCATCTAACTGACCATCAGTGTCCAATAAATTTAACAAAAATTTGAATACTAAATCATTGGCAATTTTGTTGTATTTGTAAGAAACAAAACATCAATAACAATAACAATAATATTAATAAAAAAACTATTGGCATTTTTTCTGCTGCTTCAAAAATAAACAAAAAGTTGAGTGGCCTTTGGCCTTACCTGCATTTGGTGGCACTGATTTTGGCAATGCCGTGTTTGCACCGATCATCTGCAGCGCCAATATCACAGCGATAAACAAATATTTTTGCATTTTGGTGTCAGTCAAGTGGTGTTGTTGTAAATGTTTTATGGTGACAAATTGTTGTTATTGTTTGAGTATTTGTTTGGAATCTTTTTTTAAATCAAATTTTTTTAACAAAAAAAAACTAGACACTGAAATGAGGACACTTTTTTCTAAATATAAACACCGAGAAGAAACAAAAACAACAAAATCAATTTCAAAACAAAAATAAAAAATTTCACCTAATTAATTAATTAATTACCAAAAAAAGAAAACAAATATTTAAATGCAAATGTTTTGAACAAACAAAAGGTTTAAATATTAATTTTTATAAAAATTAAATTTTTAAGGCCCAAACAGGTTAAAAGCTTAAAAATTTATTTTAAACATATCCCCCTGTAACTAAATCTCCCCCATAAAAAAATGCGGAATTTTTTAAACAATCCCCCAAAATATGTTGTTCCAAATGCAGATTTGATGTTTTTATTTCTTTTTTTTTTCTTTCTTTTATTTCTCGGAGAGTGGTCTGTTGACGCCAGGAATGTGAGATTTATGTAAATTTTTTACTGGAAGTCTTCAAAACAAATTTTGTGTTTTTTTTTTCTCTGTTGTGGCGGTCAACATATAGGAGTTTGATTATCTTTGTTACGTTATGTTACAAGCGAGTTTCGAGCATAGACGACGAACAAGCAGCCAGCGAAAGTGAAACCGTTTAATAAATTAACTTGTTTAGTTTTTAATTTTTTTATTATTTTTTGAATAATTTTTATTCGTTATGAAATTGCCAGTTTTCCAAAACTTTTTTTCTTTCTTTCGGCTTTCTTTATATTTTATTAATTTTTTTTTTTTCTAAAAATATTCAAATCCAAATCACCGTTAAAGTTTTTTTTCGTTGTTGTTGTTGTTTTCTATTCTTTTTTAAGGGGAAGCTTTCGATTTTGTGAGTATTTTGCGCATGTGCGCCTAAACTGACCGTCGACGAAGAACTAAACAATATCGTGGAGACTCCGCTCGGATACCAGGGCTTTGTGTACACATGAAAAATAAGAGCTTAACAAAAATAGCCGCGCTTGCTCCAAACGTTGTGGTGTGGTGTGGTGGTTGTTGTGTTTGTTGCTGTTTCACCTTTTGGTGGGACTTCTTGTTTTCTTTATGGCACTCGGGCCTCATTAAATCATGCCGCCGTCATGATGTTTATTAGCATCTTAAGGTTTTCAAAATCTCCCTACCAGAAAATAAAATCTCAACAATCTGGAAATACAGCTTAATTTCACAACGAGTTTCTCTCCTCTCTCTTTGAAAAATTTGCAGACAAATTTTGACTCTTTTGTTTGAAGCTCTTAATCGAGTTTCTTGGCTTTTTTGATTTTGGATAAATTTTGCAGAGTATTTTTTGTGCTGCAGAGAGCAGCTTTTTAACTTGGCCAACAATTGGAGTTAAACGAGCAATTTTTTTATAGCCTTAGCTTGGGTTTTTCTGTAGCGGACTTGTCTGGCTGGTTTCTCTTTTAGTTATTTGTTGGTTAATATGCTCACACAGACAAGAGGGAATTCCAAGAAGCTAAAACCCATTGAGAAAACGAATCTTTAAAAGCTCAGCAACTGACCACATGTACACACATATATATGAATGATATTTTGTATGTGTACATAGCAATAAGCAATTGAATAGGGATTAAAGAGTTCTTTTTGGAAAATCTAAAAAATATTGTAACGGAATATTGAAACTATTTAAAAATCAAGTCTTACGGCGTGAGTTGATATACAAATATATACTCTCTCCCTGAGCCTGTTTCAATTTTTTTTCAAATTTCCTTAATTTTCTAAAGAGAAACGCTTTTTTCTAATATAATCTACTAGCAAGTATCGGCTACTTCGTCCGCGAAAAGTCCACTTCAACAATTTTAAATTCTTTCCAATAATTCGTGTTAGGCTTTTTTAGTACTCAAATTGCCTAATTTGTTCAGTTTCACAAATATTTATACCCTCCACCAACATAGTATGGAGGATATATTAAGTTCGTCATTCCGAAATAATTTTAGACCCAACAAAGTATATATATTCTTGATCAGCGTAAAATACGATTTAGCCCTGTCTGTCTGTTGTAATCACGCTACAGTCAAAAATAATTGAGATAAGAAGCTAAAATTTTGCAGAAATCTGTATATTGTCCGCAGGCAGGTCAAGTTCGAAGATGGGCTATATTGGTCAACGATATCGTATAGCCCCCATATAACGGTACCCCCGATATTCGATATTTTGATGATTTTAGCCACATTTTGGAATTGTCTGAAATTCTAAACAAGGAGTTCTTTGTGAGCACTTTATCCCCTGGAAGAGAATTATCCATATCGGTCCACGATATCGTATAGCCCCCTATATCGGTACCCCCAATATTCGGTATTTTGATAAGTTTAGCCACATTTTTCAACGGAATTGTGTTAAAATCCACACAAAGAAATTCTTGTGAGTACATATCTCCTGGAGGAGAATTATCTTTATTGGTCCACGATTTCGTGTAGCCCCCATACAATGGCGCCCCCCGATATTCGGTATTTTGATGATTTCAGCCTAATCTGTCAATGGCATTTTTTTTAAAATCCACAAAAGAAATTCCTTGTCATTACATTACCCTCTGGACGAGAATTGTCTATATAGGTCCACTATAGCATATATCCCCTATATAACGGTTCCTCCCAATATTCGGTATTTTAATGATTTTTGCAACAGTATTCAACGGAATTGTTTCAAATTTCGTATATAAAGTTCGAAACAGGTACTACAGCCTATGACACAAATTACTTATGCAGGACCACGTCTTCGTATAGCCATCATATAACGGTTTGCAATTGAGCGGTATTTTCCGACAGAATTTTTTTGAAAATTGTCAAGTTTCTTCCAAATGGTGGAGGGTATAAAAAGTTCGGCCCGGCCCCGAACTTAGCTGGTTTTTTAATTGTTTAATGTAAACTTCAAATATCGTACTAAATTTTTAGTCTTTCAAGGTTTTACATATTAACCAAGTTTTTCCTTCTTCGGGAAGTATCACAGGACCAAGGGGTATTAATAAGGCTATTGGAAAATGGACACACATACATTTTTCTGACCAAAAATCTTTCAACGCCTCCATAAATATAAACCTAGAAACCAACAGTGATCTCAATATAAAATATCAGAACTTCCCCAATCGCCACCACAACCAGATCGCAACCCCACATACCAACATAAACCTCAATATCAAATATCGGGATTTCAGCTCCATCCAACCAATAGCAAATTTATTTAAATTTGCTACTTTTCGTACAATTATAGTACGCATTTCGGGAACCACCTCCATTCTGTTCGGCTGAACTTAATGTCTTTTCTTTATTTTTATTTTTTTTATACCCTGCACCACAAGGTGGTCAGGGTATTATGTCTTTGTGCATTTGTTTGTAACAGGCAAAAGGAAACGAGATAGACCCATAGTTCCTTTTGATGATCTGCATAGAATCACATTCTGAGTCGATTTATGCATGTCCGTCCGTCTGTCTGTCTGTCCATGTATTTTTGTAAACAAAGTACAGGTCGCACTTATTATCCGATCCAGATGAAATTTTGCACAGATTAATAAATGGCCCAAGGACGGACCCTATTGAAATTGGAGATAATCGGTCAAAATTTAGATATAGCTCCCATATATATCTTCGTCCGATTTGCCTTTTATTGTGCACCAAACGTGTAATATCAGCCCGAATTGTATGGAATTTTGCATATACACCCAAATTAGGCCTGAAAATATGTATGCCAAATTTGAAATCGGAATCGAGATCGGTTCAGATATAGCTATAGCTCCCACATATATTTTTCATTCGATTTGTTATTTTTGTCCTCCGCAGCCGTAATATGCACTCTGCAACAACAATATTTGGGAAAATATATCAAATACAGCTCAGAAATACATTTGCTAAATTTTATCGAGATCGGTTCCGATTTGGATATAGCTCCCATATATAACTTCGTCCGATTTACTTTTTATTGTGCACCAAACGTCTAATATTTTTCCAAATGGAAATTTGGCACTTACGACCGAATTGAGCCCAGAAGCTAGTATGTCAAATTTAGTGAAGATCGGTTCAGATATAGTTATAGCTCCCATATATATTGTTCAACCGATTTATTGTACTTGTTACCCACAGCCGTAATATGCACTCCGTAACAACGATATTCAGGGAAATATATCAAATACAGCTCAGAAATATCTTTGCCAAATTTTATCGAGATCGGTTCCGATTTGGATATAGCTCCCATATATATTTTTATCCGATTTCAAATTAATTTCGCACCAAATGGGCCGAATTTAAAAGATACAATTGCTTCGGCATATTTAGTCCTTTGAACTTTAAATTATAATTATAATCATAGCGTGTATGGATGAATTCTCCCATAAAAACTTTTAATTGTTATGTGGAGCTCTACTAAATTAGCAAAGTTGTGTAGGGTATCATAAAGCCGGCCCCGCCCGACTTTAAGACTTTCTTTACTGGTTTTTATTATTTGGTAGATATGAGAATGTTTCGTAGTGAAACCTTCATTTTACTTTCAAAAGGGTTTCAGATTTGCAGAAACATTACCACAAATTTTAGTGTTCAAATATAGCCTTTGATTACTTGTTATTTGTAATCCTACCAAAGGAGAGAATTCCCACCACGTCAAATCCTACGATTCGAGTGATTTTTAATTAACATCTAATAAAATGAAATACATCGGCAACTGTGGAAGTGACATTATCCACGTTACTGACTGCCTACTTGGAATCCCAAATGGACATGGAAAGTGTTTTTTTTTTGCGAATGCTATTGCAAGGAGACTATCGACAGAGAAACTAAACAAAAATCAAAACGAGATGTCGTTACACACAACGACTCCAACATTTCACACCGGATTTTATGCGACATTGACTTTTGTATGACTTATTATAAAGTAAATCACTAGTCTCGTAGTTTCTGCGGTAGTTGGTGCCGTAAAAAACAAAATCTCCAATCTTAGTTAAGGTTTATAACCGCCAAGTTGTAAGCAGTTTTTTTTTTTTTTTTGGTTTTACAAAATCATACAACATCTTGGTATTATCTCAGATTACACATATGTATACATATTGTCCACATTACTTTTTATTACTGCCTTTTTGTTGTTTTGGATTTGTCTGAGGCAACATTTACCTGTCATTTCATATTCGATACTTGGCCTGACTTTTTGTCCAAGCGAAAAAAGGTATTACAGTTGTTCCCCATCCAAGTTACATCAACTACCGTGAATTCAGGCTGCTTATGCGGAACCGTTGGTGCAATCAACCCGTTTTTTTTTTTATAGGCGGATAGGCAACTGGCTGACCAACCAACCAACCAACCATCGAACAATAACTGCACTTCGTTAATAACATATTTTGCCCTTCACATCTTGGCACGACATAAAGAAGTGTCGTTGGAGTTGTTGCAAAAACTTACAAAAACTGGACATAAAAAATTATAACAATGCAATTGGACACTGGTTGATGGCAAAGCGCATAACTGGTTGAATGGTTGTCTGTTGGTTCGTACTACGTAGGTTGCCTGTCTGACAAATACAGAAAATATTGCAAAAAAGCGATACATTGCACGAATAGTTTGTCGAAGAAAAAAAAAATACTTTTCAAGGGTATTGCAATAAAATTCCATTACCATTTCCACCATGCAAAACTAGAAACATCATTTCTGAAATTTCAAACCGAGTTGGATTTTTTTATAAGTGAGTAATGAACTCCAACGGTTTGGATATAAAGGAATGTGGTCTAGTCTTTTAAATTGGGGACATAATAAGCATTTTCAATAATGAGAATATGTTGACTCAAAACGACTCAGCTCCGTAGAAATAGACTCCCGGTGGTCTTCTACAAAAAACCCCTTTTTAGTTCGTCGAGACAAGAGAAGCAAGCTTATGTTGGTCTATAAAGACAAACTTCAGAACTCGTCTATAAAGACCAGCTTCAGAGCTCGTATCTAAAGCTT